CTGTTTGGTCGACGGGACAATCGAGGCCCCGCGTAAAACAAACAAAAAGAGAGATCCTTTTCAACGAAAACGAAAGGTCGTCCGTGAAATATTCGAACGCGGGCAAACACTTCGAACGACTAATTCCCGTGGAATTGTCTTCGAGGCTCCGTGGCCTCCTCACGGAAGAACGGACCGGGTTCTTCTCCACGAAAGGCATAATAAGTTATACACGTATTTACTTTCCGCTTTCAGCTCGCGCCAGCCGGTCTTTCCTCGTCGATCGTTCTTGCGCCGTCTCTCTAATCGCCTCCAAGATGCCGTATTACGAACGATGGTAGGGCAAGCAAAATTTTTCTCGACGACCACCGACCTCTCTCACGTGCCCAAAGATGGACAGTGGCGCGGGACGGTCCTGATTCCGCGGTCAAGATTGATGCGTTATGCCTAGTAGGTCCAGATGAAACTGCCAAAGAAGACGAAGTGGGCTTTCGTGGAGAGCCGAGGGGGCCCACGATTCTCGGTCCCGGCCGAGAGGCTGTAAGGGGTGTCTTTTACCGGAGCAACGTGAACGTACCTTTGGCAAATGGACAGGAGGAGGTGCAGATATCTCGGGCGTAATTTATCACCGTGCTAGAGAGACGGGTGTACCCCAGCTAGAAAAGTTACCGGGCACGGGCACGGGGCCTGGGCAACGTCGATGGAACGCGAAATAGGCAGGGGGAAAGAGCAGTCGCGCGGAGGATCCGAACAAGTTGCTCTGGCTCGGGCCCGGCCCTCATTACCACGCCCCCAGACTTCCTAGTCATTATCTGGTGGTTCCAATAGCGAGATCGAATTTCATCACGAATTCCAGAACGGGCATTCCACCGCTATAATCGTCCGTCTTCTTTTCGACCGACCGATTCATCTCGAGGGAACGGTCCCGTTTGTGGCGAATCTGAATCGAGAGGAGAACGATATTTCTGGTTTTGCGACGTCACTGGGACTTTGCTTCGTCCCGCGTTTTCCTGGGATGTAGCGTATACATGTATGTACGCGTATAAATGGAACCGTTGCGAGTCGTACCACGGAAAGGTCGGGGGTAAAGCTCTCGGGAGGGGCAAAGTAAACCCGAAGGGTTTCACTCGGGGGCTGGATGTAAATAATTAAAGAGGTCCGGCGAAAACAAATATATCGTTTCGCGCAGTGTGATAGATGATGTTGCTTATTCAGCGTCCTGGATGAAGAGAAAGGAGTGGTAGACGAGGAGGAAGAGGAAGGATCGCAACCGCGCGCGCAGAGCAAAGAAATACGAGAGAAAGAGAAGAGGTTCGGAGCTCGGTAGGCTTTTAGGATGTTAGGTGGACCGGGAGAGGGTTCAAGGGCGTGCTGGACGTTTCGAGGGAAGGATGGCGAGGCAATTAGGAGGCTCAGCAGGGTGCCAAAATCTTTGCCCTCTTCCTCGTCCCTCCTTCTTCGTCGAGTCTCTCCTCCTACGCCCCTGACTTTACTTCTTCCCCTCCTCCACCCCCTAATCCCTCGTCTCCTTGTGCTCTCTATTTTTTTTTTTTTCATTCGAATTGATCTCGGAGCCTTCTTCTTCCTCCTTTGGACCGAATCAGGAAGGACAGGCATTCCTACCCGAAACGCCCGTTTGCGTCTCCACCCTCGTATTAATTCAAACATTTGAAACCTCGATGAAGCAGCGGACGTTAGTCTCAGTTTTAGAATGTTCTTTTTTTTTTACTCGAAACGTTCGAGGATTCGTTCAAAGATGTCGAGGAACCGATAGGAAAAAATATACGTCGTTTATCTAACCCGAAGAATTCAAGTTACTTATCCCTCGGATTGGAACGTAAAATATACCAACCGTTAAAATTGATAGGACAAGAATATGATCCCAAAGTGTAGCCGAAAAAAATTGAGAAACTAAAGGAAACTTGTAAATATCAATTACAAGAGGTGGTAACACGTGAATTGATCGAATAGATTGGAGTCAGACGACGATGGCGCCCCTAGTGGGATTCACGCGAAACTTGAGATAATATCGGTAACGTAGACACCTGCAGATGCTACCGTCAGTAAAATCATCATCTACGTATCCACTCGATTCCGTCGATAAGGAGGGTGCCATCCTTAGTAACCGTAGAAAATTTAAATCCGTTGATAAAGTCTTTTTGTAACAGTTGTCAAGAACAAAAACAGTCAACCGTCTATTTTGCAGGCAACAAATTTTTGCAAATACCTTATTAAATATAATAGTTGCGATGGGAGCAATTTTAAATTCCGAGGGAGCAAATTGGGAGCAATTGTTTAAGCTGAAAATTGTTAAGAAATACTAATATTCCGCGCCCACTATTCATCGGTCACACGAATGCATTTCTCGCTTCCTGTCGTTATACTTATGCACAAAATAATAACGATTAATCACCATCTTCTCTTCTTGGGAGATCAATGATGGAACTCTGGTTCGACGATTTATGTCCGTCGTTCCAGAAGTTACATCGATACGAAGAGCTCCCTACTTGTTTCCGTTTCCTTGACTACACAGCTAAAAGTCAGTCGTTTTACAAAGTCGCCCCGGATTTTAGGGTTATCACTTTGATTGTCTACAATCGACGTAGAAAGAAACCTCTCGATGCAAAACGGTTCGCGCAAGATTTGTGTCTCTATCCTGAAGAAGACTCCCTTCGAAAACGTATTACATCCGAACTGGTGTCAAATTGTTCCAAGAAACCGGTGATCTTTACGACAAAATCTTTCATCGAAACGAACCACTGCAAGAAGAGCAATGGCTTCGAGAACTACCGAAATGTGCCGAATGTGCAACCGAGGATTACAGTCATACAACGTACCGACAACGGAATCGGAGAAAAGGCAGACGTACGCTTTCGTTAAAAGTCCGCGGGCGATCTTGCACATCCAGAAAAAATACAGGAATCCACCAGCGTAAGTATATCCCCGGTTACTAGAATTTTGGACGCGAAACGAATTGAATTTCTCGCGAAAGCGTTGAAAACCCGGTGGGCGAGCGTCGAAAGAACTTTGTGGCACAGGTTCTTTTTTCCCAAGTTTCCCTATCGCATCGTGAACCATCTCGATCCAAGTTGCCGATAACGTGACAAGGAAACTATAATAACTTTGCGAACAATAACGTAGGTACCCTTAAGTTGAATTTTATCGCCGCCGGAAGTCGTCGTCCTTGGCGAACTCTCGATTACTATTACTCAAAGACTCGACTTCCTGCAAAGCTTTTCAGCCCGAAATGCAATGAAATACAGTGTTTCCTAAGTCCGTTGTTCCTTCAAATCGATTCGCGTCTCCGACGAAATACCTATTCCGATGGAAAAGATTGATATTATAGCGTATAAAGCAGTGGTTGTTTCGCTCATCTATTATTACGTTCCACCAATCAATTCGCGAGCATTATCGTGCGCGCTATAAGAAACCCGCGAAGGCCTGTTATACGCTACCGAAAAGTTGTGATCCACGGATAGCGATGTAAACGTTGGTCGACCGTACGTCGATTACTTCGTGGACGACCAACAGAAGGGAACGACCGCGAGCAGATTTAATCGCGCGTTCGCCAACACGTCACGGTCACATGGCGATATGCAACTCGCGAAACCGCAGTTTTGCCTTCTTCGAATATCCTCCGCATTCGCGAAGAAAAAATGATTCGTTGTTTCGATGTATTTCTTTCTGCGAGTGGAAAAAAAGAAAAAACGAAATGTCGCACGGGTAAATCCAAACTGTATATACTATTCTCGAGTCGTTTATCTTATCGCGATCGTCCAATAATTCTCGCGACTCGTGATTTCGAATCACGCAGTCAGCTCGACGCGTTTCGCGCGAGACACGCGACTCGCATGATTCACCTTCAAGGGCAGAGCCGCAGTATGCTTGGCTCCGGAGAGAATTTTCAGGCCACTAGAGTCATTTGCTAGTAGACCAGCGTGTTTTATAAATTTTAAAGGACATATTAAATAAACGAACAGATAACACATCGAGTGTGAACGTTTAGAAAATTATTTGGTCCATATCGAGACACGACGAAGTGATCTCGAATGTGGGATACAGGATTATTGATCGACAGAGAATAGAGAGCGGGATCTAAACACGCGATTAGATGGAATCACGCAATTAAAACGGTGCTATTAGTCTCCAGGTAGACGACGGATACGGTGGCAAGGTAAGGCAAAACGTCACGAGAAACGATCGGTCATACGTAACGTGTTTCACCTTGAGGAGAGAGGTTCTAGACGGAAGGGCTCGCTTGGCTCGGTATATGCACGAGTACCTCCGACGCTGGGTGTTGTGCACGAAACGTGGACGGACACCTACGTGGTCATAGTTACCACCGATTTTGAACCCCTTCGGCATCACTTAGGCATGCGCAAAGTTGACGATGGTCAGCGTTATTGAGTGGCCGCTCGCACGGTAAAAATATACACGTTCTCCCTGTCTGCGGTCTATGTCGGTCGATTCTAAGGACATTGTCCAGTCTGTGAACTCGGCCGCGGTGTTCCGAGCCGGCTAGTAATGCCGTGAACACCGGCGCGCGGCCACCCTCTCGTCGTCGATCCCCTTCTGCCACGATTTTTTCCATGACACCACGCCAGTGTCTCGGTGCGCGTTCTTAACGTGGATTTCATTGAAAATTTCTCGTTTCGCCGGCAATACTTTTGGTGAAAGTACACTCGAATGAATTCCCTTCGATTCGATAAATTCGCGTTTCTGCTGCAATTCGAGTAAATCAAGCGTTGTCGCGACATTATGGATACGGTCCGTCTACGGTTCACGGTCCTCCCTGTTCGCTGTCTGACCACCAGCCGACCGTTTCCACTTTAAGGAATTGGAGCTGCGTCGGACTGCGCCCCGAACGAATTCACGTCGTTCAATTTCCTTCGGTTTTGGTGGACCTAGAGAGGCTCGTTGTTCGAATTGAAAAGTAAGAGAAGAACGAATGAAGAACGGACAGTTTTAGAGATGAATATCGATGGTAAACGGTCGAGAAAATTTTGAGGAGGAAGAGCGAGATGCCGGCCGAAATATCCGCGCTGCCGCCAACAGCCAACGGAGATCCTTTCGCTCGTGATCGAAAGGATCCGCCGGCATTCACGATCCTCCAGAAAGATGGTTTGGACAGCAACCTACCGCTTCTCCACGTGAACGGCGACGACGTCGATACGAACGGATCGGAAGTCAGGCGATACGAGAACTGCAATAACAATCTGATCGATCGGAAACGTCTCAGCAGATCGAACGATCATCTGATCCAGGCGAGCTTACAGTCCAGCCATGCGAATCCGTTGAAGAAGAAGACGATAAGCCGAAGCCAAGACAGCTTGCAATCGTTGGAGAAGGTGCCGACCATCAAACCGAGCATCACTCTGTCTACGGAGGACTTCAACGAAGTGCTGAACGCGAAATTGAAACGGATCCAGGACCAGGAGAAGGAGGAGCAACGCAGAATCGCGCGAAAGAATCAAACGTTTCACAAGAAACCGTTCATCACCACGGTGAAGACTGGAGAATTTCTGATGCCGCCACCGGAAGTCGCTGCTCTACTCGGTATCGGACCGACCTCGAACGATTCAGAGGAAATGGACAACTGTCCTCTTCGATCGAGATTCAAATCACTCGTATCGCTCGCCAAGAAACCGGAAGTACGTCACAGCAACCACAACGCCAGGTGTCCGGCCGCCCTCAAGGCCACCGTCGATTTCACTCTCGGAATGATGAACGCGACGACCATCGCTGCCTCGACCTTGGACGAGCGCGCGAAGATCCCGAAGAAGAACGACGTGGCGTAAGTTTATCCGGGGGCCTGGAGTTTCAGCCCCCTTCTTTGGAATCGCGTCCTCCCTCTCTCTTGGTGTCGTCTAAAAATGGATAAAGGAAATACGCGGGTAGCTGTCTGGAAAAATCAAGTACCAAGAGGAAATCGAGGCTCTTGAAAAGTTAGAGCCGATCCAGATCACTTAATCCCGCGATATCGTGTGTTCGTCGTCTCGTTTTTGGAAACTTCTCGACGTTCGCCCAACGACGACGACGGTTATCTTACGAAAACGAAATATCTTGTATTTTATCGAAATAGTCCCTGGTTTGTCGTTACCGACACAGAATCATTTTTCATTTTATTTTCAGCGATCAATCGATTCCTTTCGGGAATATCATGTTTGACCGGCGTGTTGTACGCGGAAGCACGTACGCCGCAGCTCCTACCCTCGTAAGTAATTTAATCATCGATGCACTAATAAACCAAGAGGCACGCGATTAGGCGTTTGGTAGTAAACACGAGAAAATATCTTGTACCGGTGATTATGAAAGTGATTAGAGTCAAAAAATCTAAAAAAAATTGAACGTATTTGGTGGTTACATCGATTTATGGTACAATAATGTGAAAGCATTTCTGCAGAATATTACATTGACTTAGGCGATTTTCATAGGCGAACATGGACGGTCGAGCGTCGGTCCTAAAAGTGAAATATTTGCATGCTTGTCGCAGATCGATGGAGAACAGTCGATTGCGGCGAGGCAAGCGGAAGCAAGGAGGAGACATTTGGCGCGGAAACGGGCTCAAGCACAGGCCACTAAAGCTCTAGTTCTGAGAATAGGGTCACCGCCGCCGGTACCAGGTCGAAAACACGAGCCCGTGCAAACCGAAGTCTATCTCGAAGAAGTAAGTATCGGTTTTTAATCGCGATTGCTCTTTTCCGAACGTGAGATTAACGTCGGGGAAACTATTATTTCACAGCTGTTCGACAAGCCGGACGAGTTCGACGTTTCGACGCAGACCGACTACTTCCTGGACAGGCCATCGACACCTCCGTACTGTGCACCCAAAGTTGGCCAGGATGTCGGCACTCAAATCGAGCCGGGTGACGTAAGTATACCGATATCTTAAAATCGATCGAACGATTTCTAATTGGAAACGTCGCTCGCAGCTGTTCGACTTCGACTACGAGGTGCAACCGATTCTGGAGACGCTTGTCGGCAAGACGGTGGAGCAGGCGTTGATAGAGGTCCTCGAAGAAGAGGAAATCGCCGCGCTTAAGGAGCAACAGAGAAAATTCTTGGAACTTCGCGCCGCGGAACAGGCCGAAGCTCGGAGGCTGGAAGAACAGGAGAGGAGAATAAGGGAGGAAAAGGTAGGAACGCGCGAGAAATCGAGCTTTGGAATTGGATTGGCATATTTTTAATCTAATTTACACCGATACGCGACAGGACGAGAGATTAAAGCAACACGAGGAAGCGATGAAAGCCCAATGGGAGACGGAGGAACGAATAGCCGCGGCCACCCTACTGACAGGATACATCGCGGAACTTCTTCCGGCAGTTCTAGAGGGATTGAAGATGTCCGGATTCCTACTGGACGAGATCAAGGCTGGTTCGTGAACTCGCAAGAACACTGCTACTTTTTGTGCATTAGTTAATCAGAAAGGTTTATTAATTTTTCTTTATTTACATGCTCTATCCAATTCGATATCCATGCACGCCTACCGTTTCGTTTTAATCCCCTTTCCCGCGAGATCGTCCTAGTACGTCGCGCCTAGAAATTTATTTACTTGCGCAGATATGGAGGAAGGATTCGTTCCTTGGCTGATGAAGGAAGTGAAAAAAGAGATGGGGAATATGATCGAGAGCAGAGAACTACTCATGGGTAAATGTTGTCCGTATAGGATAGACGTGGTGGAAAATATCGATTAAAAAATACAAACAAAAAATCGCACTTCGAACGACGTAACTGGCACGTAACGCGCCGAATCGCGCGACTTACGTCATCGACGTATTGACTTCGGATTTATGGAGGTGTCGGTGACACCGAGGGAAGGCCCTCTTTGCACCTCCTCCTGCCGTGCTAACAACACTTTTGTCCACGTAGGCTTTGTAGCATTGAACAGGGAAAAAGGACTCCTGCGCCGTCGTTCATTATTGTATACCCTTGGAAGCCAAGACGGTCTAAGTCGAAACGGACAGACATAAGCCTCAGGTACAATCATCGATGACCACGGTCTGGTGCCACTATGTCGCGACACGACGAATCCCTGCTGTCGCTTCGGACACCGCGCAATCGTAAATAAATTCTGTATCTACGCGGTGTAACCGTCCACGTAGCGACGTTTCGATATTTCGAAAGCAACCGATCGAATTTCCACCTCGTCTGTCAATCTGTCGCGAGCACGACCACCATTCCGAATATGTTTCCGTTTCAGAGATCATCAAGGAGATTCTGGAGAACCGTGCCGAGACGTACAGAAAGCTTGGCGAGGAATACGACGCCACGAGGAAGAAATCGTCGATGGAAAACGTGGAAGACGGTGGTCGAGACCCGAATTTCGTGAACTATCAACCGCCCGTTCTCGAGAACGAGGATGCTATTTAGCGAGACGACTCGTCGAGATATACCCCTGTGTACGTAAACCGAAGAAAACGTGTTTATTTGCCTAGGGCTTGATCGTCGAGCCGAGAGTTTCTTTTCTCGTTGGGGCGCGCGCACGCGTTTGTCGACGCTTTAACACTGGTTGATCTTCGACGAAGAAACGAGCATATCATCGTTAGCTTTCGGATTTAGGGACACCTTACCAGCACAGGAGCAATCCCTGTCCCCGGTGGCTTCTACATTAAGCAGTGTACACAGCTGCGAAACAAATCCATCTCCTCGGGGTTGCGGCCCGTGACAGGTCACCGCCGCCGCTACCGATCCCCACGGCAAACACGAATCACCAACACCATCACCGACGAAATCCATCGGAAATTAATTACTAAACTTTCCCGGTCTCCGTTATTAAGAATCGTTTAAGGCTCGTTCCTCGACGAACAACGAGAAACAACCCTGATTATTGTGTCGTTTTGAACTATTTTTTTCTTCCTTTGCAGAATCGTACGGCGTATACGGAACAATCAAACAACCGGATTGAACATCAACATCTACGATGGAACTGTTTTTTTTTTTGTTCCCGGAGTCAATTCCTGATTCGTTCGCAACAATAATAGTTTTACAGCAGTTCGAATAAATGAAATGATTTGATATTCATACAGAGATCTTGAAATTTTTTGTTGCTTTTTTTCCACGTATAATGTTACGTTAGATCGAGTGGATACGACTCGCTGCTTTTCCCGCACGATTCCGAGTCGAACCGAGTTAAAATATTTTTCTGTCTAATGGCGGGTGATTTATCGACGGCGCGGCGTGCAAGAAAGCACAGCTGAAGGGACAATCGTCGAGTCGAAAATACAATCTCGGACGTCGCTAAAACCGTCGATCGTAATTCTGCCTCCCACCCACTCTCTCTCTTTGTTTTTCCACATTTAAAGAGTCAAGCCGAGAACTGAAAGCGCGACGACGATTCGAGTTTAGAAAATTCGAATAGCAACGAACCAAAAAAAAATATCCTTCATTCGTGAATCATAAAGTTTCGCCGAAAAAGAAATCGTTTGGTCAACGGGCAATTTACGAGATGCCAGAGAGATCGCTCGAGGTGATAGGTAGATACCAAAGAGAAGAAAAAAAAACACACAAAGTAAGTAAAAGTCTACGAATCGTCATCGTCGCGGAAAGGTCTTGGCGACGAGAAGTCTGAAGGATGTTGCAGTCTGGCGCCTTCGATACCTGCCCCGTGCGACTTAGCTTCGTATTTATTAGATTACTCCAGACCTGTGCGTACCTGTCCTCCGGAAGGGTACAGGTGAAGTCGGCCGATGGTGCCTTCTAATTATCGAAAGGCGACGTCACAGTCTGCTGCGCACAGATAATGCAGCAAACGCGACTCGGATTCGCACTAAACGGCAAATTGCCAAACAAGAATTACAACAGGTTCGTTTCTTTTGTCGCGAAATTTAACAGTTACTTCGTTCATCGAATACTTTTTCCGTAAATTTCTCTCTCGGGATCAATTTAAGAATTCGCGTCTGAAAACTCGACGAATTGTTCGACAGACGGATGAAGAGAAAGAATAATACTCCCTCTGAAATTGAAGGGAGGATGAGATGTACCTATATCGTCGGTACACCGCGAAAGTAAAAAACCTGTCCGGCTCAATCAGGATTAGATCGATCATAATAGGATGAGGTTTCACGGTGAATCTAGATCGGCACAGTTTTAAAAAGCCACCCACCCCGTTTAACGCACCCCTTGCTCCGGTGAACGAACGACAAGGTGAGGGGAACCATATTGTATTGGATTAAATTAAGCAGGGAGGGGGGCCAGGGCCCGATACCGTCGTATTATATGCAGAAAACTTGGGTGCCAAGTGAGTCGTGTTTTAGGGAGAGTCGAGAAGGGGGTCCAAGTAACCCACCCCGCCGATGATCGCTCGTTGCGGGGGGTTCAGCGTTGTTTCCTCATGCGACCCGTGTCACCTGCATCTCCAAGGGATCCTCCTTCCTGCCAGATTCGAAATCTCTCTTTCGATCACTGTAAATTATTATTTTTCCAACAACAACGAAATCGAAACGATCAATGTTTTCTCGAGAAGAAAGGGTTGTCGTTTAACTCGTATTAAATGACCGTGATTACAAAACGGATCCCATCCAAATTCCAACGACTCGAAAAGTAAAAGTATATCACAATGACGGCGTCGTGGTCCACGCGTGTGCCCGCTTCGCAGAATGAATTGACTCTTAAAATCGAGTAAACAGTACCTAATGGTTAAATACGACGCCGAACACGGGGGGCAGGGTCGTCCACGTTCGGGTCGTGGGGCATCCGAGCGGCACGTGTCGTATTACAGAGCACTCGGCTCCACGAGACACGGGCAATATGTCCACGCCACGTGACCGGAGCAACGTAATTTCGACCGCGGGGTACATTAAACGCTACCGAGAGATCACAGCGTTCCTCCACATCTATACAATGCCACTTAATTGCATCATTACACTGATAATTCGGTGTCTAGGGATAAATAGAATTACAAAATGCACACACGTTAGAATCGTCGAAATCATCGAGATCGATCGTACGAAATTTCTCTTACGAAATAATAACTATAATATAGATTAGACGGTTGAATCATGATCGAGTAAGTAACGTTTGCGGCAATTCCGGGCGAATATTAATAATACATGAGCCAGTGTCGTCTCGTTGGAAAAGCTATTAGGGACAGACTTTTGACACTTGCAGAACCGAGACGAATCACCTTTATGGTCACCTCCCCGCAGCGGCGACCATAATTCAGGCTTCGCCCCGCAGCATCCAACGTGGTCGCGCCATATAGAATCTCGTAAAAGGGAGACGAACAATAAGATTTGTTACGTCTATGGGTCGGCGAAGGGTTCTGCGTACGCGTGATCCGCGTCATCCGAAATCCAAACCGGGAAGATCTATCGAGGCGTTTAAATTTATGCACGAACGCTAGTCGTCAAACGATCGAATAATATACTCGTGACACAGGTCCAGTATTAAAGTAACAAGATCCTTGGAAAAAAAAACAACGAGAATGCACCAGATTTCTCTATACAAATTATTGTCGTAAACCGTCAAACGATTGCTTGCAATTCGAAATAAAAACTGGAACGAAAAATGGAAATTTTCATCGAAGGGAAATTGTTATTCGACCGACAAGTTGCGAGCAACAGTGATGGTGCACACGCTTGCACGATCCAGGGTGTTTTTCGTATGGTTGTTCGGCGCAACGTGAAACGAGGGGCTGGCGATAATACGTAGATGATAATCGCGATATTAATATCGCATTGGGAAGCGCGCACATGCGTGCAAGGGCCCATTGGTCACGGCGGAACACTTGCTCGCTTGCTGGCTCGCGGTTCTCTGAATGCACCCTGATTTTAGAAAGAGACAAGCCGAGGGTGGGACCCCATCCCCCGAGCCGGGATGCGGGCGAAAACCGAAATTTATCCAACCGCTCTGCGGTAAGAGGCGAACGCATCGATTGGTCAGATCGACCATGGAAAGATTTCCATCGATAAAAAAAGTCGAATCTCAAGCGTTGGCCAGGAATCTTTCCGATCTATCGTTGCTTTCTCTGCCTATCGTTTGTGGATATATGTAATTTTAACAGAGGTAAAACCGATTTTGAGTTTTTGGAGTGAATAAGAAGTCGAAAATATTGACAGGAACAACAGTAGTAATTGCAGTAAATGCAGAGAATAAATTTCCAAGAGACTATCGCGGTGTTTACCGGTGACGAGGCGTGCGAGGGGGGCGAACACTTGCTGTAGCTTGCTTTTGGGCTCGTAGACAAGGACAAGGAAGAATGGCGAAACACTCGTGGCTGAATTTCGAGGGACCAGAGAGAGGGGTTGGTACGAGGGATGGTGCAGCTTGTGAACACTCGTGTCATTCCCTGGTCCGGCACCATTCACTCTGGGATGAATCACGTCACCGTTGCAGGACGTGTTCCGAGCAAGGAGGGACCCGTGACCTTCCTCTGGTTTTTCTTCGTGGTGGCGAAAACTCTGTTCGGAAATCGTTAGGGTAGAATTGCCTCGGAACCCTGTCGCGGTGACTCGAGTACACTGTCTTTACGAGGAACTAAATTGCCGGAATAACGTTAAGAGGTCTTTTAACCAGAAGCAGATAAAGATCGAGCGTATTAACGTGAAACGACGTAAGCCATCGAGACCTCGAGTCGGTACTAGCAATTAGCGCAAAATACCTGCAGCTGCTGAATCGTGAACTGGCCGAACCTGGAGATTAAGCCTGCTCGTTAGGCTAGCAAGACGCATTACAGTTTTGACGATTCTTCTAAAATCGAAAGTCGAGGAGATTGCGACGCGACAACTCCGTCCGACAAGAACGAACAATTCGACGAAATTACTCTGGATACTTTGAATTCCTCGCGTAAATTGCAGATTTCTTCCCGAGTCGGAGCAAGATAATCCCTTTGGTTCGTTACGAAACGAAATCAGAATTAACGTAGGTCGAGTCGCGGGAAGAGAGAGAAACAAACTCGTCTAGATCGACCGAACGATTAGACAAATCCACGTTCGGTATCGCTCGATCGTGATCTACGCACGCGTGCGAGAAGAATGAGCCACTTAATTTCCTAATCAATCGTTGATTCAGATGCACCTTTCTGCCGGATCCCTCGTCCTCGACGGGACGCACATTGGTTTGCAGCTGAGCCAAACAATGTCCTTTCACATGAGGCTTTTATAGCCCCATCAAACATCCAGTGGTCCAGGGCTCCTGGTGACGGCCCTTCACGACCTGCGTGTCACGCCCGAATCCCCACCGAGCGAAAATTCAATTACATACGTCCGAATCGAAGGTGTTCCGAAACGAAAGAAACGAAATCGAGCCTTACATTATGATTCCTCCCAATTTTCTCAGATCAATCTTCACCCTTAGCGACGCGTACGGTATTCGACAAAAACTCCTACAATAAAAAATACCACGATTCGATACGTTCATCGACAATTACCGACGAGAAATTCTAATGTAACTCGACTCGTCGAGAATCAATCTGTTCGGCCATCCTTTGAACGACCGAAGAAACAAGAGAGAAATAATTTCGCAGAGAAGGACAATGGTACCAGAAACGGACAAGTAAAGCAATAAGAGTGGTCTACGTGAGTTATTAGCGTACAGGGTGGAACAATCGAAGGATATCGGAATAACGAAAGGGGTTAAACGAAAATTCTGTCTGCATGGTGGAAGGTACCTGTATCGTCGGTATAGTCACGTCGTCGCGCACCGGTGATCGTGAAAGATACGGAACTCGTAGGTACTAGCCGTCTTCAAAATGGCTCAGACAATCCGGCGCCAGTCGCGGCCGACTTTGAATGGGACGAAAAACCACGACAAACGGGACCTTGCCCGATTCATCCCCTGGATACGTTCGACGGCTTGGTCACGCATCCGCGACTCCACCCTTGTACCTGTAGCAACAAGTTCGATTAGCGGTACCTTCGTCGATTCGCAAAACTACCATTGTCCTTGCGCGTCTCGAGATCGGGCCCACAACCGGAGGGTGTGGGGTAGTAAAACAATTTACGCGCGACGACGTTCCGGACGGACGATTTTTAACCGAGCCATTCCAGGGAAATGGCCAAACGGTCCTGACTAGAAAAATTGTTCCGGATGGACGATCACCGGCTCATTGTCAGTAACCTGTCGCTCGACAATTTTCTGTTAACGTAACTAATTAAAAGCTTCCGCGAAATGTCCGTACCTTAACGCAATAAAAATTTCTTCTTACTATAAATATGCGTGGCGTGACGACCTGTTTGCTTCCTCGACGATTGCGCAGTCGGACAAGGCGTCGTGAATGCACTGAAAACGATAATCAGATTACAATATCTTAATAAAATATGTAAGATAAATGGAAAGAACTGTCTGCTATATAGTAGATCGTTCATTCAAATAACAAAGTGAAAGTATCTAGTAACGTAGTTGCAACAAATAATCCCTTAATTTGCAGATTTCTGGTTGAATCATCGGTAGACTCTGGAACTGCTGTATCGCGAGGGCCAATCACGTGACAGCTAGTGCAAAGTGGGCGGGGCAATGAACGGCAAACGGTGCAATAGGACAATCGCTACAAAGTCCGTTCATCTCGAAGAGCAACAAGAATTTATTAAATAAATTATAGTGTCTCCCAAAAAGGATTTCTTTGTCGTATATAAAAATGAGTCGGCCATTTATTTAACGATCGCAATACTAAAATTTTTTTAAGTTTGTCGAATTCTTTCAATTAGAACATTCGTTTCAGTCAAGATAAAAGAAGATGGACTAATGTGGAGAAGAAATGATCATTGATATTAAAGATAGGTTGCATAGACGCACCTTGCACACGCTAATGCTATAGAGAGTCATTCAACCCCCTTCCACCTAACCACAATATCCCCACCCCCAATCATCGACGGCGCATCAGGATTCGAGGATCGGCAACACGAAGGGCCGAGTTACCCCTGGCCAGCTCTTTAAATACAATTACACGTATACTCGGTGCGGCGTGAGTTGGGGTGCAACCAGGACAGAGGGAGGGGGCAACCATCCCCCTGGTAGTCAATTCGGGGCACGAGCTCTCCGAATATATTTAAGCCACGTGCGGAATACAGGTCGTACTCAGTTGACACCTAGACATCGCGTCATCGTCATCGTCGGGAGTTCTTGATGCGCACGACTGTATCGCCAGCGAGCAGCCTCACCACGATTCGTCTACTTACTGTGCGCGAATGTTCATTGGAATTTACGATAATTTATCGGTTAAAGAGAAACTATTATTCACCGAGTGTCCAGGGAACACGCGTGGCAGTGAAAATATATTCGAGAGAAATCAGGATCGGTGGTGCAATCGTGTCAGGATTTCACACCGATCGCCTACGAAAATATTGGAAAAACAATCTACGACGCGGTTTAAATGGAACCGACGAGCACGATCATGTACCCCCCTGTCGTTGCCGATAACACGTTGATGATGAGCATCGAGGCTCTCGAGAGAACCTCGTTGTCTCAAGGTTTCGCGGAGAGACCGATCGTCAGAGCCGCGGGAGTTCTCAGGAGAGACGCTTCGACGGAGATCATTGACGTCAACCGACTGTCCCAGAAGAGTACATCGGTCATTCAATATGTAAGTATGAGATAAAAGTGTTTTCGTTCCCTTATAATAATTTCACGATATTAAGAGCCCGCCTAATATGACAGACGTAACAATAAATAACGAAAATCTGATTGTTTAATTATAGGTTGAAGTTGCCGACGCCGATGGACGACTGTACTGCGTGGACGGACTAATCAGCGCGCCGTGCTGGTTGAAGATCGTCACGTTTGCCAAGGATTGTCAAAGTTGCAACGTTTTGCTGATGACCACCGACAAAGGTGTCATACTGAAGACCATCAGAAGCATAACACCAGGCGAGCCTCTGCTGATGTGGTTCACCGAGAATATTTTGGCTATGCTGAACATGCCGTTTCTAACGCCGTCCAATATTCAAGGTTTGCACTGCCTCTTCGAAGTAAAGAAACAAACATCCAGTAACTTTTATCGATAACGAAATATCTCGTCTGTTTCAGGTCAGAATCGTTACATTTGTCACATGTGCCACAACCTGTTCGAGTACCCGAATCCTTTGAAGATTCATCTGGCCTTGAAATGCAACCGACTGGACAGTAATCATCTTTGGTCCGCCCTGGCGAAAGAGTTCAGTCTACCGCCAAGATCGAGCCTATCTCTGAGCCTGTTCCCTCAATCCACCTTCAGATTCGAGTTGACTAGATCGCCTCAGACTTCACCCACCAGGATATCGCCGATTCTGGTCGAAACTACGGACTCGAACCCTTCCCTGACAAATAACTCTCCGGGTTCCTCGAATCAACCCTCCCCCTCCTCATCGAATCAACCGTCCCCGAATTCCTCGTCGACGCACATATCACCGAACTCGTCGTCTCAGTTGTCCCCGGTGGGGAAGGAGTTGAGCTACCGACACTCCGCGTTCAAGCCGTACATGAACCAGAACAATGTTTTCTCGGTTGTCTGCCCACCGGCCAGGGAAGAAACCGTTCTAGCGCCGTACAATGTACAGGCGACCGCGTCACCGATCGCCACGGACGTGCACGCCGCCCAAATGGAAACGATAGTCAGCAATCTTGGCAAATCGAAGCAGGGCCACTTGTGCATCTATTGCGGGAAGGTCTACTCGAGAAAGTATGGGCTGAAGATTCACATCAGGTAAGACGAGGTCTGATTCTACTAGCCTTACGAAACGTACGCGCTGTCGTCCCTCTTTTCACTAAATTCGTTTAATTAAGGTTAATTGTTCTTTTTTTTTTTTTGTTTTCTTACGCAGGACCCACACTGGCTACAAACCGTTGAAATGCAAATACTGTTTACGACCTTTCGGAGATCCGAGCAATTTGAACAAACACGTACGATTGCACGCGGACGGGGAAACACCTTACAGATGCGAGCTCTGCGGCAAAGTGTTGGTCAGAAGGAGGGACCTCGAGAGGCACATCAGATCGAGGCATCAGGAGAACGTTGAGCAGAACTCGGACACGTCGTCGGACGGGATCGATGTTTGAGAAGAGAATCACGGAGTGAAACAGCGATAAAATGTGCTAACCCTGTAGCGATCGAACAAACGTTTTGGTAGATTCGCGTCACAAGATGCTTTTCTACGGGCGAAACGACGTTTCAACCGTGACCCGAAGTGCCCCGTGCACGTATGGAAACATGGCTCTGCGAAGAGAAAACTATATTCGATATCGAAAACGTAGTTGTTGCTGGTTGTGGATAAAGTCGACCATGAAGTCGAATTTTGTCTATTTTCCGAATTCCAGTCTAAAGTGAACAGTAGACGAGATAGTTTCTCTATGAGCAACGTCTTGGGGTTGAAATCCGAATTATTTTTGTAAGATTGAAGGAGAAACTGTAAATAACTAGATTAAGAAAAGTAGACGAACACGGTGGTCAGAGGTCTTTGGATTACGCGACAGAATAATTTTCTATGAACTAATTTTTCTACGACTCATGTATGTAAAATATTTGTAGCATTGCTATCTTAGTAATGCAGGGAAGGTAGGACGATAAATTACAGCTGGGCTGTGCTGACCATCATTCGCTAATTGTTCGTCACAGTACAAAACTCGAATCGGAACTTTAGCTTGTACACTTCCGAATCTTAGGATTAATCCTGTTGTTATCTTAGTTTGTAATGGAGATATTAAAATAAAATTGTTATTCTATATTCATTGATTATTAAGTCTTACCACCAGCGAACAAACTATAAACTCTTTTAAGTTATTAACTTGATCTCAACAATGAAAAGGAATCCACAAAAATTTGGTCTCTACTTCTAAATTTCATTACCCTTAAAATTTTAAAAATTCGTGGATTATTCACGGTATGTAGTGGCACTACCTTGTGACAATAATGTGATACTAATTGGCTAGTTGTTTGGGTACTGTATTGTAGATGGCGATAGTAACTAGTTCCTGCGCGTAATTTCTATGTAATTAATTGAATGTTTAATTTTTAATAAAAATTATCTTATTCTCGTCATTATATAGTCACTTATTAATTACTACTTTTTACATTTCATTAAAGATAGGTATTTCATAACAAACTTAAAAAGCACTATCAGCTGTCAGTGGAAATGTCAGATTAGTTATGTCCGCTTGTTTACTTTTAAAGGTTGTTACAATTACCGTAAATATAATATTGTTGAATATAAAATAGTGTCCTGAAATATGTGAAAGCTGAAAAGTTACAAATTGTGTGGAGTCATTCGTCTGCACATAAAGCTTTGAAAGAGAAAGAGTAAATGAAGTATTATAACCTCAATATACGCTTGTGTATCAACACTGTACTCAACACTGTATGTTATTTGTAATAATATATTAGGTAATTTCTCCTATCTATACAGAAATATTGTATGAAAATTGAATTAAAATCGTTGTGCTTAATTTTATATCAAAACGTTATTAAAGATAATCTATAAACATGAATAAGAAAAAGGTTATAACATTTGGGAAAATCACCAAGGATTTAAATCAGCCTCCTCAGAGTACAGAAAATATAAGCACTGGATTTGGCACATTCGGTAAGAAATTACCAGAAACAAATGTAATTAAAATGAATGAAATCAGACCAGAAGATGAAGAAGAGACTCAGAATCTAAAGGAGGTTATGGGTATAACGGGTTTTGGTAAAAAGGCTAAATCATTTGATGTACAAGAAATGTTAGAGAACATTACAAAAACCATTCATAGTACTAAAGTTGCTGCCACTGAGAAAGATAAGGACTCATCAGAAATTATTGATAAATCCTCAGAAGAAGAATCTACAAATACCCATAAAGATGACAGTGATGATGATGATGATGATGATGAAAGTTTCATTGGACCTCCACTACCTTCTGATCTCCAAGGTACATCAGGCTCAGCAAAAATATCAAAATCAAAAGAAAATGAAAACGATAGTGACGAGGATGATGATGAATCTGACACAGAAGAATCACAATTGAGAGATAAAATTCCATGTACTCACGAAGTCACAATGACTCATGGCACAAAGGCAGTGACTGCTATTGCAGCAGATCCATCCGGAGCAAGATTAGCATCTGGTTCCATTGATTACGATCTTTGTTTCTGGGATTTTGCTGGTATGGACTCAACCATGAAGAGTTTTAGGACATTACAACCTTGTGAAAACCATCCTATCAAATGTTTACAATACTCTATGACTGGTGATGTTATACTAGTTATTTCAGGCTCTGCACAAGCAAAAGTTTTAGATCGGGATGGTTTTGAAAAGTGTGAAACAGTCAAAGGAGATCAGTACATAACAGACATGGCACGCACAAAAGGTCACACAGCAGGATTAAATTGCGGGAGTTGGCATCCATTTACAAAAGAGGAATATTTAACCTGTTCGCAAGACAGCACCTGTAGGATATGGATTTTGTACAGACCACGTGCTCACAAGTATCTAATAAAATGCAGAGCGCAAAATGGAGTCAAAACCATACCAACTACGTGCGCCTATAGCCGTGAAGGCACAGTAGTCGCTTGCGGTTGCGTAGACGGCTCTATACAAATGTGGGATCATAGAAAGAACTTCGTGAATCCATCGTTGATTCAGAGAAACGCGCACGCACAAGGCTCGGAAATATCGAGTTTGAGTTTTTCTTATCTCGGACACATGTTGGCAACTAGGAGCTGCGACGACACATTGAAACTTTGGGACTTAAGATCGTTCAAGTCACCAGTCTTCGAAGCAAAGAATCTATATTCTCGGTACGACACGACTGACTGTATGTTTAATCCGGACGATTCGATTCTGATCACAGGAGAATCCTTGAATAAAGGTCAAAGCACTGGTAGAGTATTGTTTTATGATACGAAAACTTTTGAGCTGATTAATGAAATAAGTGTAACAAATTCACACGTTATTAAAACGTTATGGCACCCGAAATTGAATCAAGTATTCGTTGGCTGTGGAAATGGAATAGTTAAAGTATACTATGATTCGAAGAAGAGCTTGAGAGGTGCAAAATTATGTATCGTAAAGACGCATCTTAAGCAAAAACACATTGAGGTGATGTCAACCCAACAGATCATAACACCGCACGCCCTTCCATTGTTCAGGCAAGACAGACCTAAGTCGGTTCGTAAACAAATGGAGAAAGATCGTTTGGATCCGGTTAAATCGAGAAGACCTGACTTGCCAATCACTTCCGGTCAAGGTGGAAGAGTTGCTTCCTCCGGAGGAACCCTTAGTTCTTATGTAATTCGAAACTTAGGTCTAAGTAAAAGAATAGAAGACGATCAAGACCCTCGAGAGGCAATCTTGAAATACGCAAAACAGGCGGAGGAGAATCCTTATTGGATTGCTCCGGCATATAAGAAGACTCAACCGACAACAATTTTCCAAACAGATGATCCGGACGGAGCACCAAACGCAAAGAAACCAAAAACTTGAAGAATGTACGATAATTCGCTTAATATTCAAGCATTTACATTTCCGTGTAATGTATGACGGAAATTTGTTACATATAATAAATATAAACATACATTAGTAAACATTATCTGCGTGTAAATTATGCTGGTGGTATTTCCTATTTCAAATTGAAATCGAAACGTAAACTTTCTACGACGAAACCGAATTTATGGGGGTTAGTAAAAAGGATTCGAAAGACGGGAAAAGTTAGGTCTATAATTTCCGGAAGCTGTGTCGATCCCCGTGGTGATCGTGAAATCGACCCATGGAACGTCGCCCCGCGAAGCAAGCGTGCACAATGGTGAAGCGAATCTCTTGGTAGAACGGGGAGGAAATCGAGGACCCGAATCTAAATAAATCGATCAGTAAATAGATCGAGCCTGCTTCCTACTGTTTTGCGATTGGATAGCAAGGGGAGCATGAGACGAGGGTGTTGGGGGGAGAAGGGGTCGCGTATTTGTGGCGTTCGAGTCGGCAGTTGCGATCGCCTTCTGGCAAACTTTATCGTGACACCGTTTTGTGCGTGTACGAGAGTTGGCCGGTTCGTTCGATCGGTTGGTTCCGCCGTAACCGATCGATTCGCTTTCCGCGCTCGATGAAACCAGTGATATAGTAAACTTACCTCGGTGTGCAAATTACACTGTGCGTCCGTGGTGCATCGTTCCCAGCGACGATCACGTCCACGATACTCACTGGCAAGTAAACGGAGAGGAAGGCGATATTATTGAGCAAATTCACGCGCCGCTAGTACTATATTCGTTTCGGGCGACGCGTCCGGCCACTTCCGCGTACATACTACGAATTCCTCGCGGCCGCCGTCGTCGCGTTCTGCCGCTACCGTGTTTTTTTGCTCGTTCCGTCTCTTTTTACGCCGCGAAAACCGAACACGTCCGATCCGATCCACTGGATAGAAACACACTGACTGTTAGGATCATAGGATCCACGACAATGACCTGCCCTCCCTTCCATCGCGCCGATTCGACGACCTTTTCGACCATACAAATACCTGCACGTTATCAGAAAAACTGGTTTCGTCGTAAACCGCGGATTCGCATATGCGTCGAACCGAAACTGTTTACAATATTCTATACACATTGTCGCTCGAAAGTGTGGAACACGTTTTTGTTTTCATTCATTCGTAGCCTTTAGTCCTTCAGATATCCGTAAGTAATGTCTCTTTCATACGTTCCGTTTGCAACGGAATGCGTATTGTACGCATTACATGCAAACCGGAAGATGTTATCTATTTAAAGAGCGAAGGGTGCTCCACATTCTTGAACAACAGTATCCATGTTCAACAACGTACACTTTGTATTTTCCTTTCGCGATTGTTTACGGGAATATTCTGACGTAGCCGCTAGCAAGTATTCGATGTGCGCATTTGCTATCGAATGTTCCAGAGCTAAAAGGGACAAATCGGTGTTACGTAACGAGGGTGAATTTTATGGGAGTGTATCGCGATATCGTCGACGAATAAATTCAAATGCGTTCCGGAACAGGAAATCGGAAGTTACCAAAGCAGATGGTCGTTAATTCGCGCGCGAACGCGATCATGCGCCAGGATTCGAGGCTTCCGGATTTGAATAGAGCGGCTCGGAGCACGCACGCAATTTAGTACGATCGACGCCGCCGTTCGAGGAAACTCAAGCTCGTAAATAAACGTCGTAATTTAAGCTCGCGCTCAATCCGTTTCTTTCGCATTACATAATCGATTGAACGCGTACACGGAAATCCCTGTTGGCATCGAATTCACTCAGAAATGAGATCCACGGTTTCAACTTGCTCGCGAATGCATGATTTTCAGATGTAGAACAGCATGGCTGTCAACGTCAAATTCACGAAATTCGACAACACACCATGGGGATTTCGATTGGCGGGCGGAAGCGACTTCCCGCAGCCACTGACTGTCATCAAAGTACGTATTTTTTGTAACACTGATTTTATGCTATTCGACTGTTTTTTTTTTGGTACATATATTTATGATGAAAGGCAGTATCCATCAAAGATCATGCAACGAACTATAACACTTTTATATATACCAATCATTGCCGATTTCTTGTCGTGGTCGACAATTACGTGTGCATGCATAACAGTACGAACGGTTGCCTACTTTTAGGAGGCTGATACCTTGTCGGTAAGGTAGGATAGATTCAACCCTTTCTGCCAGGTTTCTGTACTACCAACAGTCTGCAATGGATACACTTGTTTATGCAGACTGGATTTATAAACAAATTAATCTTTTATTACAAAAAACAACGTAAGACTGGGGAACAGTTTTTACGGTTTTTTATGATATTAGTTGTCGTATTGGTATCGGTTTAAAAAAATTTTGCTATTACACATGGTGATCTAATTGATTGTCGTTCAGCAAATAACGATTTATTTATTGAATAAAAATTCGGTAAGAGTAGAGATCGATCTAGTTTGAAACATGTTTTTGCCAGGTGACAGAAGGATGCCTCGCGGAATGCATGGGCTTGAAGGTCGGCGACGTCGTGGTCAGATTAAACGACCAGCCGATCAGCAGTTTGACCCACGGTCAGGCGCACGAAGAACTAATGCGAGCGGGCAATAATTTTGTTTTGGGCATCCAACGGTACGTACTTGGCGTTCCCCACGAATAAAAGAAATCAACTTGTCGACGGAGAGGCTCTCGCCGAGTGCCGGAAGTTGATCACTGAATTAACCGTGACAACAATTGCATGCCAATGTCAACGACACGTTGCATCGTCTCGATTCGCTTGGACCGTGAAGCTTAACTTGAACTACTTTTGCTTGCCGAGAATTTTATTTCGAATGCTCGCCGGTGATTCATCGGGTTCGGTCCACGGTGTCGCGCGCCCCCCGGTATGAAATTCCGCCTGTCCGTTTAATAATTTATACGGAACACTTGCCCGTGTTATTTTTCTCCGGGCGGGGAAAGATTTTCGAAAATTATGCGTATCCGTAACCGGTGTCCCTGTGCACGGTCTCGTACATTATAATAATACGTCGGGGCCAGAATATCCCGGCGTACGGGCAACGTGAGGCAACGAATTGCAACACTTATAAATAGGTGACCCAGAATGAAATCTGTTTATCATTGGTCGGCGATTTTATTGCTGGCATTTACACTGCGCGCATTTGTTCCCCGAACCCTCATTACCCTTTCGCGCGTGAACCGGCTCAGAGCCGCCTAGGCCTTCGAAAACCGAGTTAAAATCGTCGCCCGTTCCAATTCCGTTCGCCTAGCCGCGGAAAACTAGCCGCAGACCGATATCGTAGAGGCACACGCCACCGTTAACCTCGAGAAGCTATTTAACCGACGGGATTGTTGCGCAGAGAAGAAGATCCCCTGAAGGCTCTGGAGGGGCTGTCCGAGGAGAACATCGTTCCGTACAAGATTCCTGTAGGTACCTCGCAGCAACCATCCAAGTTATTCATTGTGAAATAACCGTGTTACTTAAGAAATAACTCAGAACCGGCGACAACGATCGCCTGGTTTCCCTCCCGCCCCTGCCAAGACTTTTAATGGCTGTTGACGACGTGGTAGTATCGTTTGTTTAGCTCGCAGACCTGCCGCCGGTATTCCCGGAGCAGATCTTGAAGGAGGAGACGGTGATCGAGCGGTTCGAGGAGATCACGTGCGAGGAGAAGCGGCTCGAGGAGGAGGCCAAGCCAGAAGTGGAACCGCTCCCGGACAAGCCAAAAGACGAGAACAGCGAGATCGTGCCGAATCAGAATCTCACGGACGACGAGATCGCTCAGTTGATTCTCGAGGAGGAGGAGCTTCTGGACGACAAAGGAGTACTAGGGTATAAAGATCTTTGTCGTTTCTTCCTATGTACCGTCTATATTCCCCGATCAATTAACACCAACACATTCTCGGGTTACGTTATTTAATCTATTCGTATCACCGAGATCTGATTTTAGTTTTTTCTCACGTTTCAGGGTTAACTTTAAGAAACTAAGACCACGGGCGACGGTATTGAAGCAATCAAAAGTGATCGAAGAGTTGCAGAGTCTCGCGACAGCCGAACCGCCGTTGGTCGAGCAGCTGAAACGCACCTCGGTGTTTCTGCAGAAACCCCAACGACCGATACCGGTGCCCCGTAAGAAGCAGGAGGAACAAGAAGTGGTCGAGGTCGAGACCTACAGAGTGGTGATAAAGAAGCAGAAGAAAAGGACTGTGACCGATCGTCTGCTGGAGAAGGGACTGCTTAAACCGGAAGACGAAAAGACTCCGGAGCCCCCGACTCCCGAGGTAATCATGGACAGTAGCGAAATGGGGACAAAAATCGAGGAATACGATTCTTCGTCGGTGTCGTCGATCCTTCCGTCGTACCCGCTCGAGGATCATTCGTGCTCCAAGTACCAAGAACAACTCGAACCGACCGCCACGGTGTCCGAGCTGTTCGTCACGTGTCCCGAGCCGCGGATCGAGCTCTACTCGTGTCTATCATCTGTCGACATCGAACTCGAAGCTCCCGCGGACTCGTTGGTGCCGGAAGTTGCGCCGGTAGAATTGTCGAAACGCCGAGAGAACGTAGCATTAACGCGACGGCCGTCGAATAAACGGAAATCGAAGGGATTCTACACACGGGGCCACTACTTCCGAAGGTGTCTATTCGGGAACAAAAGCCACGGGGACGCTAAGAAACCAGGGAAAGTCAGGTCTTCGTTCAGAGAACAGCTTCCTCACCAGGGAAACGACGTCGGAATTAGCGCCAAGTCGAGCGTTCGCAGCGATGAACAACACGAGGAGGAACGTCCACGTCGCGATTGCGTCGTGAAATCTTCGAGACCCAGGATCAAAGGTCGTTACCTCGAGACGTATTTGAAGCGAGAGGATAATTGGATGAGACGTATGGTCGACGGGCTCCTCGAGAAACCCGATAGCTTTTCCTCGAGCAAGCTGTTCGATAGACTCGTGTCGAACAGAGAGATTTCATTCAGACGGACCCGTTACGCGGAGAAAATTCTCGTTCGTACCGTCCAGTCTGTCGCTGTTCGTCTTCGTTCGGACATTCTAACTTTCCTCGAGCAGGGAGGCTCGATGGACTTATTGAACCCGGCGGAATCGAGGTCTCGTATCCGCAAACGATTGTACTTCAAGGGTCGTTATTTCCAGCGTGTCCTATGGAAGAATATCGTACGTTTGATGAACTACTTCAAGGGTATCTCGTTCACGAAAGATGCCCCGCGTAGAGACAGAAGGAGGAGTTCGACGATGATTAAAATGAGGGGTCGTTACATGGAAAAGTGTTTGTTCGAGAACGGTCTGTTCGATTCGCGCGATCGTCCGGCGACACGTCCGTCAGTCGTTTCTTCGAAGCGAAAACTCTTCGTTCGTACACGATACGTCGAGCGTATCTTGAAGAAACACTTCGAGTCACTTGGCTTGATCGTGCAGTATATTCGTCGCCAGATTCTCCAAGGTATTTCCGATTCTTCCGTCTTCGCTCCAGAATGTTCTTCGTTGAACTCGCGCCAAAACGAAGACGAACGGGCTCTTTCCAATCTTATTCGTTCCTCGAAAGACTTCATCGCGACGGAGGTGTTCCATCGCGGAAGTAGGCGTCTTTCGAGATCCTGCCGAGCCAGCGTTTCCGCTGGTTCCCCGAGTTTGTTGAACGTTCTCAGAAGCATCGCTCTCGATTGGCTCCCGACGAAATTCACCGGTGGACTGACCGATCGGCCGATCATCGAGAAGAAAGCGATTCAGGAGGGCGATCGCGTCGGTCGTAGGTTGTCATTCGTACCGACGATTCTCTACGAAGGCCTGACGAATCGCATAGGCGTCGATTTCACGAGACTAGTCGCGTACGCGTTCGTCCCTTGTACATCCATCATTCTGCTCTACATGTACAAGTAATCGCCACCCGTTCGACGGTCAACCGATATCGGGACGCTTCGGACGGCACTATTATAATGCTTATTATTGTTTAGATATAAAACGACGTCACTTGTTCTAGGACATCCCTAACAGACGCTAAATCATCATGGGCCATCTGTAAACGTATAGAAAAAAAAAAAAAATGAAACTGAAACGGTGTTCGTCGTTCGTAAAGTGTGTGTTGTATCTTCTGTCCAGTGTAACCGTAACATGTTTCTCGTGACTAGAGGCCAATGTGTACTTGTTCCCGGGGCCGTGGAGTCGGATAACGAGATAATTTTCGGTTCTAACCTTATTAATGATACCGTGACGATCCTTAACCAGAGCCCGATTTTGTCTTTTTCTTTTTTCTGATCGTTCCACGGTGCGACCGAACATTTTTGTCACCCGGCCCCGCAAGTACACGTAACCGTAGTACGTACTTATTACAAGCTCGGAAGTGATCGCACTCGCACGTCGAATTCATTCGCATCTAGTCTTAACGAGTGTAGAGTAGAACGTTTCGAATCTCGCGTTATCATGCACGCGCAGATCGATGCATGTATAATGATGTCTATCTTACAATATACTCTCATTGTCAATGTACGCACAAACAAAAATGGATTGTCGAGAAGAAAAAGAAAAAAAAAAAATAAGAAAGTACGTTCGAAATAAAATGCATATATCTGGATGCACCCAATGTGCCAGAGTAATCTCGATAACCCTTTAATGCCAACGATCGAGAGAAGCTGTGTTCTTGGGACGCAGCTGTCTCTACGTCCGGAACGACGATTTATCCCGATATCCTATCCGTTCTCCGGAAACGAACACGAGTACTAAAATCACCGTGACGAACGTAACGTACTCGTAACGATAACGATCCAACCGAAATGCGCATAGAACAGAATTTTTCGAGAGAATATACCATACCGGTTAAGTAAACGGTTCGAACTATCGAGTATCGTTCCGTGCCTCGGGCAATGGCCGTGAATAGAAGAAAGTCGAAGGAAAGTTCTGTGTGCATTTCAGTCCCGTTTCTTTGCACGACCGACCAAACAAAAATTCTCCATCATCCCACGGATCCCCTATTTCTGTAGCTATTTGTCTGAATTTAGGCGACACCGTCGGCGACCCCAGATCCAGGCTGCCGATCGGATCAGGAACGCGAGCCCGAGTCGCGACCGGAATCAAAGGCGGAATCGTTGAAACCGGGGGATAGCGAGACCGGGCTGCGATCGGAAGGGACTGTGTCCTGCGACGAGGAGAACGCCGAGCAGGAAGCTTCCCGTGAGGAGATCAGCCAGCACTCGACGCGAGAAACTGTTCTAAACGAAATCGAGAGAGAGATGGCAGACGTCGCGTCGAAGGTCGACAAAGAAAAGATCAAGGAGCTGGTCAGCACGGAGATCGACCTGGAGAAGCAACTGGAGAACGTTCAGCGACAGCTACTATCGTTGAAGCAGCTACCGAGCGAGATCGAGAGCCACTTGAGAATCGTCTCGGAGCAACTGCAGATGATCATGCAGCTGAGCGGCGTGCAGAACGGCGCCACCGCCAACAACGAGCAGCCGTCGTCGAGAGGTAAAAAGCCTCGCTGGCTAAGATCACACAATTCTCGTAGCAGATTTCGCCTCGATCGGTATCACTCTCGGGGTTTAGCCGAATATTTTCAAATTTCCACGCGTTCGAGAGCGTTTTGAAGCGATGCCAAGACGTGTCACGTCACGAAGGCTCGCCTGCGTGTGTCCTCTCGCGGAGTTACGCGCCAGCTCGTTAACGACATTATCCGTCTTTCCGTCGCGCGCTCGATAATTGACGCGAGATTAATTCACCTGAGTCTCGACTTTTACGACGATGCTTCAGAAACCGACGAACGATGCGAGGAGACGAAAGAATCGGAGGAGGAGCACGAGGAGCAAGATGAACACGATGAAACGGAGGAACAGGACGAGACCGACTTCACCGAGGATTTCTCGTACACCGCGTATTACGACGAGCAACAGCATCAACGGATCGTCGAACAGACCGTGGAGGAGGAAGAGGAAACCGAGACGCAGGAACTGGAGGGAACTTTGTCGGTGAAGAGCGAAGAAGGCAGCAGAGTGAAGAAGTTTGTCGTCTCGTACGAGACGAAAGTTATAAAGTCGCCGAGCCCGGCACCGTCTCACGGTAAATATTCTCCCGTCTTGTTCAAGAGTTTCTAGACTAATAGTCCTGTAATTCGATACTCGAGCTACAAGACAGGATACTCATATTGTCGAACAACTTGTAGGAAGTTTCGAACCCGATCCAAAACTATCGCCAAAAGATCAAGTTATTCAGGAATTGCAGGTATTCTGGAAACCGATGTGGAATGCATATGTTGTGCACGTCTCCGTTATTCGTGTACAGCTCCTTTGGGATTTAGTACTTTTTAATCGCATCAATATTCTCGTGGATTCCTCCCGTGATTGGCGCACGGAAGAGTAGTCCCTCCAACTTCTGTGCGTGTCCCTGTCTCTTTTTCTCTCTCTCTCTCTCTCTCTCTCTCTCTCTCTCTCTCTCTCTCTTTCGATATTCCCATGAAACTCCCATCGAGGGGTTTAATAACCGTCCATTAAGCGTCTCCAACTTCTCCGTGATATTGTGCGTAAAATGTCCTCTCCGAAAGTTCCCCGCCGATGGTGTTGCCCTTGAGTTTAAAGTCCTTAAAACTTCGTGAAGTGAAAGTATTCGTGTCACGCACGTACCCCGGACGTTTTAGCGCGAACCACCGTGAATTCCTTGGTAACCCGTGTCACGAGCATTCCTCAAAGATAGAGGAAAACGTTCATTTTCAATGTTCTCCTCTGATGTTGGTAACACGACTGACTGTTTGCGGATTTTACAGCAGAAAATGCAGAACAGAGGAAGGAGATCCTCGCAGGATCTGTGGCCGCAGGCTAAGCAAGTCGAGCTGACTCTCGGCCGCAGATGGAGGTGTCCGAATGATTTCTTCAACGACGAAATGATCGCCGAGGTGCTGTCTTGCCAGGCGGAAGTTATTCGAGGCAGAGCCCTAGGGTAAACATCAAGTTCTTCTTCTTCTTCTTTTTTTTTATTCTCATCGGTTCGACGCAAAACAGATCCCAGCCCGTTTCAATTAGCTCCTTTCACTCGAAATCAGGCGTGAGTCCCCCCTCCGGCTGACTCATCGCATTCTTGGGGCACCGATGATCTAGTGAAACGTATGAAAGTTTTTCTTTCATTCGTGATACCGCCGTGTGTACAAACATTCTTTCGTACGGTATAGAAGATCTAAATCAAGCGCGATTAATCATCATCCGCGACGAGCTATTAGTAGCCCCTGATCATTATTATTGTACCGCGCAGAGTCAACTTTAAGAAGTACGAGAAGACGAATCTGCCGAACTACGATCACCTAATGAACTCGAGCGTGTACAAAATGATTCATAAGATGGACCGGGAACCGAAGAAGGGAATTCCAGCCAGACCCGCCAAAGTGAACGCCGCGGAAGACATAATCGAGAGGGTTGTACGTAATCGTTATACGATCTTTCGATCGTCTCCAAGATACCAAAGTTATCTCACGCCCTGTTTATTTTTTCCATACGTTCCAGAAATCTCCAGCGCTGAGCGTCGCGGACGACAGGAGTACCCGAAGCGTCAGTCATTAAACATACAAGGACGACGACGAAAGAAGACAAGAATTATTTCTCTCGGATCCGAGAAGCTGTATAAAACTAAGATGAATACGTGCGCTACGACCGAGAACATGAAATACAAGTGTAACGTTAATTATTATTAAGTACGTGTGCGTGTCGCATATACATGTTTCCAAGTGAAACTGCATTGTCAAATTCGTTACAAAAGATTAAGCGTTAATAAAAGGATTGAATCTTTTTTTCGTAAACCGCTGTGCAATGGCACGATCGTTGGCATTCTTTACAACTGTGCATCCCAGCATTGAATCGGCCCAACCTTCCTTCCGGTACCGGTACGAATCCATCGATCAATTTCATTTCTTCGTCGAGATCCAATACTTCTTGGATCCACTGACCTCTCCATGAGATCATAAATTATGGATCATCTCGTTCACCTGCAACCACGTCTCTGGTTCCTGTCCCGAAAATCCACGAATCTCCCGCGAAATTCCGTGGCTGAGGAAGAAGCGCTGTTTTCATCTGGGTCACGTCTCTTTAGATCCTCCCGTGTTGACGCAACGAGGCCGAATGACAGCCGGTGTTCCACGCAAGATCCTTTCGCGGAATCGGATGTCCGTGGATGATTACTACTAGCTGACCGAACGGATGAGTCGTTCGCGCATACTTTCACCTTTCCGGTGTTTCCGCGGCTCTGTTGCGTTGACCGTGTCCCCGTGTTCCATGTGTCCCCCCGCGTGTCCCCAGCATGCGTACGGGAGGCTGAGTCACTTCTGCTTTGTGGCCAACGAACGTTCTTTCTCCTCCTCCTCCTCCTCCCTCTTTCTCTGTCCTCCCCGCGGTGGTCGTCCCGTGGCCCCAGCCACCGAGAACGTGACGTCGGTCCCGAGCAATTTATGTAAAGCATTCTAGGCATGATTCACGAACTAGTTCGCGCCCTCGTGACCGCCACCAGCGCAGAAAATGCAGTCACACCGCCTCGACACCGACGAAAATCACGAGGTTCATCCGCCTCTACGTTCGCGAGACGCCGCGATGTGCAACACTCGGATAAAGCGTTCTCCCGAGGCCCTCCACGTTACATACATACACCGACATCGGTTTCCAGTCACGATCTAACAATCTTCGGGCGACAATCGATCAAAGTTCCCTCTCGACGGGATGTTAACGGACTCGCTTGCAACCGGGGTAGCACGCTGACGGAGCACGGATAGGCTCGCGACTCTTGGCGCCTGTTAATCGATCGATCGTCCTTCCGAATCCAATCGCGAATGAAATATGGCAGTGAGGGTATATATTTCATGGGCGGATAGTGTACCTGGCAAGGTGCTTCGAGACACCGGGAGCAATAGCAGAAGGTGGAGCGGCAGGAATCGGAATTGTTCGTGGAGGAAAGGTCGACGTCGAAGGACAGACTGAAGTATCGAGACCACCATCGCCGTTGTTATAATGCCCTTCCTGTGTACGTTTACCAGCTTGGTCTTCGCCAATATTTTCAGCGACCCCTTTTTCCAGTTTTTCCCTCTCCACCTCCTTTATTTTAAATCGTTTCAGGTCCATCGTTTCCAATATGTTTCAAACGCTTCATTCTGAAGAGAAAATAATTTACCCGTTCAAGGTTACCCGCTACCCTTGTACAATTTCGTCATACCGTATACCCAATACCTATCCATCGATCTTAAATTATCGATTCCCGTGGTCCACGCCCGCGTCACCATCCTGCCGATTATTTATAACTCCGGGTACCAGCCGAAATAGATAAATCCTGATGACGGTTTCCTTCCTCTATTCCATTAAAACGCTCGCGTTCTGCCCTCCTCGTCGCACCTTCCGTCAACCCCTTCCACCATAGGCGATACACACTACTCCGGATCGCGTTCTCGTTCCTTCCCGCGCGTGTGTTGGGTCTCTATCCCCATCCCCGCCCCTGGCCAGAACCGCGGCAGAGTCGAATCGGATGGAAGGAAGGCAAGCGAGGCAGGCCCCGCTGGCCGACTGACCGTCCTCGACGTCTGTTATACCTTTACTCCGGTCTGCGCGTTCTTCAAGAACGTACGTGCCGCCCGCCGTTCTCCCCAAACCGCGCGATTCCGCCGCCGCAGCCGCCGCCGCCTCCTCGCAAACGGCAGACGTCAACCGTGACCGACCGGTGCAACGTGCGACTGCTCTCCGTCAGTCTTCGCTTTTCAGTTCGAGCCGCGCCAGGAAATCGTTCTGCACTGCTCTTGCCTCCGTTCTTTCACTTCTTCGTCCTCTCTGTCCGCGCACACCGAGAGCCATACACGCCAAGCCGTTCGTTTACTCGCATCTCGGGCTTGTTCGCCGCGCAACGATTCAGTTTTGATCGTCGACCAGGTGAACGATATCAGTGATAATGGCCCAGCTGATCAGCGTCAAACTGTCCAGGTTCGACGGATCCCCGTGGGGCTTTCGTCTACAGGGCGGCAAGGACTTTGGCACCCCACTGGTCGTACAGAAGGTGAGTTTTATTCCCCGTTTCTGACCATCGTCCTTTACTCGCATTGGCACCCGCGTTGTCGGAACAGTTCGAAAACAGTTTTGACTGGTATGAACGGTAACACGGTGTTCAGTGATGTTCCTCGAAGATTAATCTTTCAATCCAGTGCTCCGCGTCGGTCGTTTAATCGTGCTTCGACTTAATTGACGATGATCCACGACGGGGATCTATTTCGCGAAATGCGATTTTCATTAGTCGCGATGGTGGTTTATTGATTTCTAACGATTGGAAACAATTGTCGACGGATTTACGTCGCGGTGTCGTGACCGTAGGATCGAGAGATTTCGCGGTTCAGATAGCTGATAGGTCAGCATCGCTTGAAGTTGCTTCGTCACAAATCGTGGAAAGATATGTCAAAGAACTTATCGAGTCGATAATTTCATTTTATCAACGGAAGCTTCCATAAGTGTCACTTCTTCGAGTAGGCATCTCTTAGTGACGTCACGACCGTTTTGAAGTCACGTGCGTCACATACCGCTGCGCAAATGAAAAGCTACCCAATTTTAACGTTAATTTATTCCACAAAAAAAAGGTGTATTACATCAAGAAGTGTCAATAACAAAGTTCAGCGAAACGAAATTTCGGAATTTTCGCACCGCTTTTTGCTGGTCCGTGTTTGCACGATTCTCGGTGACGTTCGTGATTCACGATGATACCGCTCCATTGGCGAGACGAAGATTATTTTCGCGAATTTAATGTTTTACGAGCCCAAGAATTCATCTTCCTCTGCCGTTGCGATCCGTGAAGCCGCCAGTTACGTAATGGACCAACAAACGCCAAATTATTTCACGCGCATCGGTAGAAATCGTTGCCAACTACGTGCGAAACGCGCGGCTCGTCGTCGCCGCCGTGCTTTGGCGACGAGACGCAGCTGTAACACGAGAAGCTTTTGGCTACCCTCCGCCACGACTTTCGACGCGAATTTTCAAACTTTCTTCGGTTTATTCGGATACAAACTGTTACGAAATCTCACCACGGTATTACGTTCGAATTTCGCGGGTTAATCTCCCCCTCCCCCGGTGGCCGTCTATTCCCTTTTCACTGTCACGTTTATTATTACTCGCCTGGGGAACCGCGTGATCTTTCGAGCGATTTATTTCATAACGGAACGTACGACGGATCGTGATAAATCGTCTGTATTTGAGATATTAAACGATTTCAATCGGAGATCTAACCATGAGAAAACAAGCTTCATTTTCAGGGGCAGAAATTTTTCGGTTCCCTCGTGAGAGATCCTCTTGGTTCCGGTCGCGCAAGACGATTGAACACACGCGGATAGATCCTGTCCACAGAAGACGTTCGGGAGGAGTTTTATCTTGCGATCGACGTTTCGAACTTGGCCTTCTTACAAGCACGTGCTCCGTTTATTTTACGAGGCCGCAAATACGACGTCCGGCCGCCCCTCTGCTTTCTCGGAAAGGAGAGAAATACGAGTCCCCCTCCCCCGGATGTCAAGGGACTCCAATTTCGAAACAGGATTACGAATCAATCGCATAGCGTAATTCGCCAAAACAAATCCTTGCAGTTTCATCGTCGTAACGATTAAGACGATTTATAGATCACGATCTCGGTAATCTCCCTGAAAACCGTCGACGTCTCGCACCCGGATCCACGGACGTCGTAAAGTTTTGGGACACGTGTCCGGCCCGCCGTTTTATGGTATCAATAATTACCACTGTTTACGGGAAAGAGAACCGAAAAGTTGTAAATCCGAGGCATAAGATGAATATATTGCTCCCTTTTCCACGATTATATGCGATTTATGCTTTTGCTCGAGTCACTGCTTCTCTGAAAGAACATTGAAACAGAACATTTGCAACCCTTCTAACATTCTCTTCCACGACGATTACCACGAGAAGCAAATCAGTCGACGCACACGGCTAAAGACAGAGGACTCCAGATCTTAGTGTAAAAATCAAAGAAATCGAGGATTTTATATCGAAAGCGAGGGAAACGACGAGGAACGAGGGGTAAGGCGACGCAGTCGAGGGACGTTTTTAAAAACCCGATGCATTGGACGGGTTTAAAAAGAAAGAAAAAAGAAGAAAGAGAGACAGACGGAGTGAGAGAGAAGCAGCGACGCGTCGCTGGTAATCCGAGGCAAATTATTTGGGCGTTCTATTTCTAGAAGGTGCCTTTGCGAAACGCGCGAGCCGGGTCGAGCCCCGCTCGCGAAGACAACGACGAAGACGAAGGCACTGGCGACGACGACGACGACGAGAACGACGACCACGACGACGACGACGACGAAGAAGACGACGAGGATGTTGTCGACGGGTTCGAGCTTCCTGGACCACGTTGGTCACCGCGAAAATAAATTTTTCCTCGGAGGGAGACGATCTCGTGTCGATCGATAAAAATACCGATCGTCGACCAGGCAGCGACACGTGCGTCTCTGTTGGTCCCAGCAGTGGACCAAAAGAGAAAAACGAAAAAAAAAAAAAGAGTCGATCGTGGGACACGACGTAATCCACGGCGATGGCGCGATTCACGCGGGAGAAACGCTGTTTTTCGTCGAGACCAAGCGGTTCTACGTGAAATTCGAAACTAACAAGGTCCACGTGCGATTCTTTGGATCCCCGCGGAATGCAACGTGTACAGGTTTCCCGCGTGGAATCGAGAAACGATCGGGGAATCGATGGTGAAATCGTAATATGTTTCTACGAGCACAACGTTTCTTTCGAGGCTGGAGAAGAGACCTTCTTTCGTAGTCGTATAACGCTATTTTAGGAGAGGCCAGTAAAGTCATAGCCTCGCGTTCTCGTATACTCGTTCCCATTCTCGTAATCTCCTCGAAACAGCTGCACGCGTGTATCTGCACGCGCTGGTTTCCGTGATTCCACCGTACCGAGCGACGACAACGACGACCACGGCTACGACGAGGACGACGAAGCGGTCGGTGCAACGTGGGCGCGTTGTTACGCGATATTTTGTTGGCCGAACGATGCATATACGAGCCGCGTTATCGCCCCGTGGAAGGACTCTGCATAAATTCCCCGAGTGTCGTTAGCCGATTACCAGCGTCACGACGATAACACGAGGTTTTCATCGTTGGCGTTTCGTTTTTCCTATGCACGTCGTTGTTGTTGCGAGCTTAATGGTGCGTCTAATTACTCGTTGGGATAACGAGCGGCAAAAGGACGCGCGCGAATGATTCAGGGGATACCCATTATGCTTTCCTGTCACTGGGTTAATTACGTTTAACGCATCGTTTCGGAGGGGATCCATCCGCGTTTCGCTTCGATTTCGAAATGTTCATGAGTAAGAGCTCGAGCCACGGTGACACGTTGTAAAATTTCACGTCGAATGAAATGCATTTTTAACGAGGACTATTATGGATTAGCTTCGTCGGACACGTTTCTCCTATCACTCAACGGAGTTACGTTGATTGTATGTTTTCGGTGACTGATGGCTTAATTATCAATGTCGTAGACCGTGAAGGTTCTACGATAATGAAAGATCCTTGCTGAAAGAGTTGATCTTCGATGTAATAGCTGGAGTTTCTTTAACGTGGTCGCGGGAAATTATAAATTACCAGAGGTGTCGCGGTTTTGCGGGACGCGTGACAACCGAGACCAACAACAGTATTACGCAACGATTGACGCTAACAGGTAGCCCAACCTCGGTCGAAAATACCTTGGGTATCTGAAGGAGGGACTTCCTTCCGATAAAGGTTAACACACGAATGTGGCAATAGCTGGGATTCTGCCAGGCCCAACGCGCGTGGGACGGAGAGAACGATTTACCGGATCGCCGTTGAAAAATGAAGTGTATCGCGGCGCGAGAAACGTACCCGAAGTTAAATTACACATCGTTCTCGCTAAACAGAGAAACAAGCACTCGTGTATATCTTTCGAAGGACGGGCCTCTATTAAAAGAAACGGTCGTTCGTCGGAAACTTTACTATTGCATACTTCTTCTTGTTTTATTTTTCGTATTTCTTTCTTTTTTCTTTTTGGAAACGAAAACCGAGGAAGACGAAGGAGGAAAACGGGGCGATTCGCGGAGTATCGAGAGCGGGGGCGATATTTTCGTCATTATCGAAAATAAGCCGTCGGCGTCGAGTCACCGTTCGCGAATTCTGTTTATGTCTAGCAGGCCTCGACTTCGAACTGCTACATTGCATGCCAGAATGTAATCGCGAATTGTTCGCGAGCGTTGTGCCACGTGTTCCTGATTAGACGGCCGTACTCTAGACAAAACGACTGTCGGTTAGGAGACGGAGTCGAAACAGTAGAAGTAAATTGGTCCGACGTTGTTTTCTGATTTACGTTGGCGCCCGTGTATTTTAGCACGGACCGTATAAGAGAGCGGGTGAAATGATCGTGAATTCGTATTCAGCGCAGGATGTCGCCGGCTGCCCTGCACCGGGTGCAACGTCGTAATTCCGCCAAACGATAGAAAACGAGCTGCACGAAGTGATCCGTGCTTTCCAGGAAGGCTACATCGGTCGAGATGTTGTTTCGTTCGGCTCGGGGAATCGACACCGAAGGAAATCAAGGCGAATCGAGATCCGATGCGATCGCTCGAGTCACGGGAAATCTCGATTTAAACCGCCGGAATATAACAATTGCTCGACGATGACGGAAGAACTGCTCCGTTTGTTTAAGATCGCTCTCGGTTGACTCGAACGCCAGCGTCCGCAGCTGCATGCTAGCCAAAATACCATTGAATACATAACTTACATAACTCGAACGGCTAGCTTATGCCTCGATGAGATCGCCTTCGAAATCATTTTATTTCGCCCATAAATTAATATCAACGGTCGGTGGGTTCGATGACGGAGGGTGATCGTCGCGGTACACGCCTGCCACTGGCAACTCCTTCCGCGGCTTGGCAATCGTCGGATCTTCTATCTGGCAAGTGTCCGTGGCCTACGGTGTTTACCGTTGTTTAATCGTTATCGGTCGATATAAAATTGTTCTACGATTATCCGTCTATTTACCAGTTATCGGTGTTCC